GGCCTTCGTCGACGAGGGCCCTGAGCTGGCCGCTGAGATGGGCCGAGGTGCCCCCCGGGCGCTCCGCGTCGCCCTGGGCGTGGCCGACGTGGAGAACTGCTTCCACCGCGTGATTATGCCTCCGTGGATGAGCGCCTTGTTTTGCTACGAGCCGGTGCTCGCCGCCGAGGTCGACCCCTCGGGTCTGCCGCTCATCGAGGGCGACCGGGCCTTCGGTATCACCCAGGTGTGGCCGGCCGCGCGCCCGCTTCCCATGGGATTCGCGTGGAGCTTCTACTTCTGCCAGAACGCCAACACCAGGCTCTCCGGCAGCGCACCCTTGCTCCGGCACGCCCGCCTGCTGTCCGACCGCGGGGGCTGGGCGGTCCTCGAGACCGGCGCTCCCGAGACGGACCTCTGGCGGTACGTCTACGTGGACAACCTCGGGGCCATGGGCCGGCACGCCGACACGGTGGGCGCTGCTCTCTCGGAACAGGTCCATGTCTTTGGTTAGAACGGCCTGGACATCCGCGAGGTCGAGCTGTTCACCGAGAGGGGCTCCGCGCTCGGGGTCGACCTGGGCGGGTCGCAGCTCGCGACCTGCTTCACCGCCAAGCGCCGAGCCAGGCTCGAGAGGGGGCTGCTCTACCTCCTCCAGCGCGGCCGCGCGAGCGGGCAGATGGTGGAGAGCGTTCTCGGCCACTGCACCTACGCCGCCTTGATCAAGCGCGAGACCATGACCGTGTTCTCAGCCGCGCACGCGTTTGCATACGCCGCGTACATGAAGGACGTCGAGCTCTGGAAGACCGTCAAGGCCGAGTTCGCCGCGTTCGTCGGGCTCCTGGTCTTCATGGAGAGCGACTGGTGGCTGCCGTGGAACAGGGGCGTCACCGCCTCGGACGCGTCGCCGGAGGGCTTCGGCATCGTCAGCTCCCGCTGGTCGTCCCACGACGTTGCCAGCGCCGGGCGAGTCCGAGAGCGAGGCCGCTTCCGCCGCGGGGGGTCTGTCGCCCCGCGGGAGTCGGCCACGGCGGCTGCCGGCTTCGTGCTCGAGGATGGCCGCTGGCGGCCGCGCGAGGGCGACGAGCTCGGCGAGGACTGGTCCATCGTAGAGGGCTTCCCCGAGGTGCCGGCCCGCCTCCTCCATCCGGAGGGCTGGCGCGTGTGCCGCTCCGGCACTTGGGGCAGGCACAAGCGCATCGCCCTGCTAGAGGCTCGGGCCCTGCTGGCGTCGGTGCGCCGGCTGGCGCAGGTCGCTGTCGGCGGCAACCGCAGGCGCCTCCACCTCTGCGATAACATGTCGGTGGTGCTGGCCGTAAGCAGGAGCCGGTGCCGGGACTTCGCGCTGCTGACCGTCCTGCGCTAGCTGACCGGCTTCTTGCTGGCCCGGAACATCAGGCTGCACGTGAGGTGGGTGCCGAGCGAGCTGAATCTTGGTGACGAGCCGTCCCGAATCTTTTCAGAAAAAGCATCGTCGCCACTCGCTTGGGCCATCCCTGACGTCGTCCGCGGGGCGCGGCCGCCGCAGGCTCAAGCCGATGAGCGAGGAGCGGAAGCGGCGGCGGACCTTGGCCGCGCGGGCCCCAGGGGACGCGCTGGATCCCGGCCCGGGGCCTACTCTGGCGAGGAAAGTGCCGCGTGAACGCGCGGGCGGGGATCTCGCGAGCGAGACAGCTTTCGCCGCAGATGCCGCTGGGGATCCCCCTGCAGCCGAGGGCGCCCGTGAGCCAGACGCTAGACGAGTGGCTGAAGCAGATCGTCCGCGAGGGGAAAGGGAGTTACGTCGGCAGGCGCGGCACTCGGAGGCTGCCCACGTCGAGCTCTTCAAGCACTGGGCCCGCGTCCGCGGGCCTCGACCGGGCCGCCCGACGAGAGCGGGCGCTTGCGACCCGGTCGAAGCGCCGGCTCTGCATGGAATTACCTCGAGGAGAAGTTCAGGGCCGAGAGCGACGGGGTCACCCTGCTTGAGAAGCGCGCGGTGACGGGCAAGGTCCACCTCGAGTACACCTTCGAGGTAGCGAGGTAGCGGCCTTCACCACGTTTGCGGCGGCCCGAGGCGTCAGCGTGGACCGCGCCGAGGCCGACGCCGTGGACGCCGTTTTCGCGCCATACCTCGAGACGTGCTTCTTCAAGGGCTTTCAGCCGTCAGCCAGGGCCAAGGCTCTGGCGGGATGGATCCACCTCCACCCTGCTTACGGCCGCCGGGGCTCTTTGAAGCTCCCCCGGGCCTGGAGGGCGCTTCAGGGGTGACGCAAACTTTGCCCCGGGCGCTCTCGGAAGCCAGAGGGGCTTGGCGTCTGGTTCGGCCTCGCGAACGCCATGTGCCACCTCGATCGGCCCCGGAAGGCCGCGTTCGCCCTCCTGGCCGTTTCGACCTACAGGCGGGGGGCGCTCCTGACAGCGAGGGGGGCCGAGCTCATTCCTCCCGCGCGGGGTGTTACTCGCCGCTGGTCGGTCCTCGTCCACCCGCGCGAGCGACCGGGGCGGAGCAAGATCGGGGACTCGGACGTGTCCATCCTGCTCGACAGCGACTGGGCCAAGGACCTGAACCCGCTCTGGGAGCGCCTGCGGGCCGTGGCGGGGCCGGGCCCTGTGGGACTTCGACTACGGCGAGTACCTCCACACCTTCCGGCGTGCTGCTCGGCTGATCGGTGCGCCGGACCTGGTCCCGTACCAGACGCGCCACAGCGGGCCGAGCGTGGACCGCGCCCGGGGCTCCCGCTCCTTGCTGGAGGTCCAGAAGCGGGGCCAGTGGAAGTCGGGCAAGAGCGTCGCCCGCTACGAGAAGCACGCCAGGCTCGCCGACTCACTCCACTGGCACGCGGCCGCCCTCCAGGCCTACTTCCAGGAGTGCGAGCATCGCGGCGCGGAGATCGTCCTCCACGCGCGCCTCGCGCCGCTCCCTTGTTCGGGGCGGTCCTGATGAAGGATAAGTACATCGCCGACGGGTTCGCCGGCAAGGGCGGAGTCGCCAAAGCCCTGCGGCAGCTCGGCTTCCAGGCTCGCACCTGGGAGATCGCCCGCGGCTCGCACGGCGACCTCACCGCCGGCCGGCTGCCGAAGCCGCTCCTGGCCGACATCCGTAGAGGCCGCTGCCTGGCAGTGATGCTAGCGCCGCCCTGCAGCAGCTTCAGCATAGCACGCATTCGTACCGCGCCTATCCGTTCTGTCCGCTGGCCATGGGGGTTTTCGAGGAAGGAGGTCAGCTTGAAAGACTGGAAGAAACTCAAGGAGAGGAACAGATGTTGCAGGGCCTCGCTGGTCATAACTCGCAAGTGCAACGCTGTTGGTGCCTCTTGGCTTCTAGAAAACCCTTACACCAGTGACATGTTTAAAACTCATGAGTTCCAGCGCCTGGCCCCCTCCCCTTCCGTGGCGACGTTAGCTATAAACTTTTGCCAGTTCGGCACCCCCTGGAAGAAACGCGCGACCCTCTTGTGCGGAAACATTCCCCTCCAGGATCTCCAGGGGCTTTCGCGCCAGCGTAGAGGCGCCGTCGGCGTGCGCAGCCGAACAAATCGCAAGTGCGTCATTCTATCTCGCCCGGCGCCGAGTGGGGTGCCGTGGACGCAAGTAGCGCAGCCCTACCCACAGCAGCTCAATCGCGCGCTTGCCCGTGCGTTGGTGGCCCCGGTCCGAGCGAAGCTTTTTCAAGCATGAGTCACATCCTCGGGTACTTTGGGGACGCTTTGGGACTTTTTCGTCGAGCGGAGGCGCTCGGTGCGATCGAGTCCGCCCCGGCTTTTGGACCGCCTCCCGCTCGCTTCTTGTCTCATCGCGATGACTGAGTAGTGTTCTCGAAGACAGATTGCACCAGGCACGCCAGCGCTTCAGAAAGGTAGAAATCGAGTCTCGCCTTGCTCTCAGTCCCCATGGGAGTGCGTGCACAGGAATGGGGTGCGAGAGCGGCTTGTCGTCTGCCAGCGCAGTCTGAAAGAAATACAATCCCACTATGTGGGGTAGCGGTTTTGCAAGCTCCGGAGCCTTTTTGGTTCCCGCCCGCAGCCACCCACTGTCTGATGTAGCAGGGACCTTTTGGACTTTTTCGTCGAGCGGAGGCGCGCGGTGCGATCGAGTCCGCCCCAGCTTTTGGACCGCCTCCCGCTCTCTTCTGGTCTCATCGCGATGACTGAGTAGTGTTCTCGAAGACAGATTGCACCAGGCACGCCAGCGCCTCAGAAAGGTAGAAATCGAGTCTCGCCTTGCTCTCAGTCCCCATGATTATGACGATTCGGATGTTGATGGCGTGTATGATAATAGCAATGGTATGTGGATGCTGTTATAATATTGATAAGCGTTATAATGATGGGTATGATGATGTATATGCTGATGATAGGATCATGAAGTCATTGTGGTGATGCTGTTGGTGGCGGTGATGGTGGTGGTGATGGAAGTGGTGGCTGTCGTGGTGATGCTGATGATGATGATGCTGATGATGATGGTGATGATGTCGATGTTGGTGATGATGATGGTGATAGTGGTGATGATGATGATACTGACTGTGTTGATGTTGATTGTGATGGTGGTGGTGATTGTGAGATTGATGGTGGTAGTGATGTTGATGGATATGGCTGCTGGTGATACTGATGTTGATGCTACTGGTGATGACGACGAGGGAGAAGAGGAGGAGGAAGAAGGGGAGAAACCCGATGAAAACACGGCGAGAGTATGAGAGGGATGTCGAAGGGTAATGCAAACGTTGAGGTGAAGGCAAAGTGTGATATTTAGGAGGGTGAGGCCGGGGAGACGGACTAGGGAGAGCAGGAGCAAAACGATAATATTGATAAAGGGGGGGAAGAGGTTGAAGGAGGAGACGGGATGCGGATGTGGAGTTGGAGAAGAGGGAAGAAGGGAGGACGGGGGGAGAAGGAGTAAGATGATGATGAGGATGACGAGGAGGAGGTGCAGGAGAGGGATTCGGGAAACGGCGAGGGGGTGGAGCAGTGGGAGGAACAGGCGAGCAGGAGGAGGTTTTGAGTTTGCCATGGGGAGCGAGGCGGACGACCGTCGGCGCCGCTCAGGTGCAGGTGCCGCGCGCCAAGCTCAAGGCCGTGCTCGAGACCCCGCGGGGCCGATTGCCGAACCAGGTGCCCGAGATCGTTGCCTTCGTCCCGCATCGTTCCTCCCTCACGGGCTCCAGCACCTCCGCCTCCCCTGCACCTCCTCCCGCACCTCCTCCCTCTCCTTCGTCAAAGTATTCTCCCTTACATGTTTGTCGTTTGTCGCGGGCCCCAGCTGTCTTTTCCAAGCCGCCACCGCTGCTCGGTGGACGAGCGTTGATTGTCCCAATTGTATTGACACTCGGTCAAGTGCCAGCGTTAACGCTCGACCATCACCCCCTCGCGCGCGCGCGACCGCGCGCGCTCCCCTTTAGATCCAGTGGAAAGCTTAACGGAGATAGGGGAGCCATGGCAATTTTCAGTGACGTGTCTGCTGAGCAGAGACACCAACTCAGGAGGAAGGTGCCGCCTTTTCAACCTTGGTGGCGTGAGACCGCCTGACAAACAAATAGATCTCCCTTTCCTTCTCCTCGCCCTTTCACTCCTCTCTTGGTCGTCCTCCGTCTCCTCCTCCCCCCGCCCTCCCTCCTATTCCTCGTCTTCCTTATCCTTTTTCCCGGCCACCACTTGGCTCGCCAGGCATTGCATGCCGCCCGGCCGTCCGTCTTTCCATCTGTCTGTCTGCCTTTCTTCGCGGCCCTCTGAACCGCGGCGCTTAGGGACTTTGGTTTCTGGGTCGCGCTGGTCACAGCTGCCCTCTCCAATTTGTCGGTGGCCCTGATGAGGTTGGAGGATGCCGAAGTGCGTTCTGGGCGCAGCATTGCATAAGGGTTCAAACCCGAAACGTCTGGCTACTGCTCCAGGAGGGGCCTGTGCTTGGGGGAAGGCCGCAGCACCGCTCAGCGATATGCTGTGCACCAAACCTCGCAGGGTGGGCCGTTTCCCAAAATCGTGTTTCGGTGAAGCGCGCCTTGTCTCCATCGTTGTCGTCGGCATCGTCGTTGACGTGGTGCGTATTGCTCTGTTCAGGGCTTGTCTCCATTATGTAGTGAACACCACCTCGCCGTCCTCTTCCTCGTCCTCGTCCTCTGGAGCCTCTTGGGCCTCGGAGCGCGGGTCCCGCAGCGCAAGACACGTACCCGAAACAAAGCTCAGTGAACACGTAATGGCGCTCCGACCTCCCTTTAGATGGTCGGGTCCACTCCGTGGCAGGGCAGCTTGACAGCCGTCTGCCCTGCCACGCTGGGTCGGCTGCCTCGCGAGGCCAAGCTCTTCACCTGTCGCCTCGCGCGGCTCCCGCATACCATATATCATATTGGCGTGTACATATTCTATGGATTCCTACTCTTATATTCTTATTATCCGGACCCCCTCCCCACCCCCCCCCTAAACCCGACCCCTCCCCCTCCAGGACACCCCAGACGCCCCTGCCCTCCACCCAACGAACGCCCTGGACGCCCTTTCTGAGTCCCGGCAGCCTTCTGGGCAGTTGGACGCCCCTGCCGATCGGAGCCCACGGGCCCAAAACGGGCCCCAAGACGGCCCATCAGCGCTCAAAGAGGACCCACTATGGTTTCAAGACGGCCCACGAGGCCCCCAAGACGGTCCAAGAGGCCCCCAAAAGGGACCCCCAAGAGCCCCAAATCGTCACATTCCCTGAGGAAACGTACGCTTTTGAAGATATTTGTTTTTTTCCGCTTTCACAGCGTCCACGGTATCCCGAGAGACTCTTGAAGATGATCGCCCCAGGACGGCCTCCGAGGCCTCTATGAGCGGCCCAAGGCGGCCCAAAGGCGCTCCAAGACGGATCAAGAGAAACCCAAGGCGGCCCAAGAGGGGCCCCGAAGGGCCCCGAGAACTCCCAAGAGAGCCCCAAGAGAGCCACAGGAGGCCCCCACGAGTGTTCCAAGAGGGCCCCCGAAAAGCCCCTGGCCGGCCTGGCCTCCCAAAACGGCCAAAAGAGGGTTCCGGGACGGCACAAGAGGGCTCCAAGACGGCCCAAAACAGCCCCAAAAGAAGTCTTCTGGTCCGGAGAGTCACCAGGAGCTCAAACGCGAGCCCACACCGTTCCAATATAGTTTCCAGCAGTTCTCTTACACTCCACGAGGCCGTAGTCCGCAGGACGGTGGTTCGAAAGGACCTCAGAAGCCCCGCGAGCGTCCAGAACCCCTCCAGGCATTCAGGAAGCGACCAATCTTTGTCGCCGCCGTCGTCGTCGTCGTCGTCTTACGGAGGAGCAGGAGGTCTCGGCCTGTCATCGCGGGCTGCCGCCTCATTATTGCGTAGCCCGCTTACTGACGCCCCGAGCGCTCGATCCCGCGGCCTGCCCGAGAGGAGGAGCAGGAGGAGCAGGAGGAGGAGGGACGACGACGACGAGGAAGGGCCAAGTTTCTGAGCGCTTCTGGTCCCATCGGATGCTTCCAGAGGTCCTCGAGACACGAGCGCCCCATCTGCAGTTCAGACGAGAGCCCCATCGTCGTTGTCGTCGTCGTTGTCGTCGGCATCGTCGTCGTCGTGGTGGTGGTTGTGGTGGTGGTGGTGCTGGTGGTGGTCCTCGCGATCGTGGTCGCATTCGTGGTCTCGACGCCCCCTCTGCTGAAACACGCGATGACATATTGCTTTTCCGGGAAGCGTCCGGAACAAGGCGCATGGCGCGAAGCGCCAATGCAGTTTTGTGTATAAATATATACATATATATGTATGTATACACATGTATGTATATATATATATATATACAGGGCATACGTTGCCGTTGTTAAGCCCTCTTTAGTTCATCTGCACTGGCCAAGGTCTCGTTGGCTCGCCTATCGCAGTTTGGCCAGCAGGTGATTCCGGGCTTGTCGAGGGCATGTGGTCGGGCACCACTGGTGCTCTTGCTGGGGATATATTTGTACTGCTGGCCCAACCGCCAGAGTCTCATGTGGAGTAGCGGCCCTCCTCCTGAGCCTTCCTTTCTGCGCAGTGCAGAAGAGGCCGGCCGCAGTCGAAGTTAGTCGATGTCAGTCGAGATTTGTTCCCTGGGTTCGAACATATACGTGTGCGCGGTCAACTTCTGTCCGCCTGCGTTTGAGCTCGGTCATAAGTGCACGTGTGGTGGATGTTTCTATTTACGTGTCTGACTAGCTGTGCCTTGGTGCAGATATGTGGAAGACATGGGCTCTGCCAGCCTATGAACTATAAAGCGGAACCTCCCCCGCGCTCTTTTTCAGGGATGGGTGAGTAGATGCTGCTCCATTGGCGGACGGTTCTCCCTCGACGGATTGTCTGCGTCGTCACCGTGTCTCCCTCCTCGTTTCATCGTCGTCCCTGGAGTTGTGCTGCGCCCCCCTCCTCCCCAACCCTGACGCCCTGCGGACATTTGCTTTCCCTCGTCGTCGTCTCCCCACTCCGGCGATCGCCGTCCCAGGCAATGTGTCCGCCCACCACCCGCCCCACCCTCCCCATTTGGGGGATATGTTCTCGTCCTCGTGTTCCTTACAGAAGAAAGAGAGGATAAAAAGGCGAGAAAGAGAGAGAGAGAGAGAGAGATCGCAACAGCTCGGCGGGACGAAGTCCGTTCGTGCCATCTTTGGGCCGTCTTGGGACCTTATTGGGGGCATCTTTTGCCGCCTTGAGAGGCGGTCTTGGGGGCCTTTTGGGCTGTCTTGAAGCGTCGGGAGCTCGAAACGTAGAAAACCCTAGAAAACACTGAACAACATGAGGGGCATCAGTGATGTTAGCCTCGCGGAGCCCTCTTGGGAAGGTTCTTGGGACGTGTCACAGGCTTCTTGCGCCATCTTGGAGTCACCTTGAGCGTCTTTGCCCGATTGTTTAGCGATTCGGGGCACCCTTGGACAGTCTGGGCGGCCTCTTGGTGGTCTCTTGGACCGTCTTGGGGCCTGCTTGGCTCCCAGCAAGTCATGTGGGAACACTCGACGCGCAGCAGAGGGAGAGGGCATGCGGGAGGCCCGAAGAGACTTGAGAGTTAGGCTCCTGGGCCCCTGCGATCTCCGCAGGATGAAAGGTTCAGAGGTTGAGCAAGGGATCTGAGGACTCTCCACTTCGTGCCACAGGGACACGTTGGTGGACATCTGTATATATATATATATACATATATGCGTGAATGCATGCATGCATACATACATACATACATATCTACACAGATGCAGAAAGTGCGGAGAACAGAACGTCATGATCCAGAGCGGAGAAGGAGAAATGCTGAGGGAGAGGGAGGGAGAACGAGAGATGGACCGACTGACCGAAGGAGAAGTCTGCCGTCCATCATGCTGCCTTCCTCCACCCTTCCCTCTCGTCCACCTCGGCCTTCTCCTTCGTTTGCCGTCCGCTCTCACTCCCTCCCCCATCGCTTCCTCCTCCCGCCTCTTCCGAGAAGAGATGAAGCGCATCCTATAGTATACATGTAAAGAGGACCGAGGCCTAGGGCCTCCAGGCCGGAGCCCCGACCGGCGACCGGTGTGCCGGGGGTCCCGTCGAGCTTCTCAGAGCCCCAGGGTGTCCCAAGCGGCCCCCAAGTTGGCCCAAGACGGCCCCATAGAGGCCTATGAGAGCCCCAAGACTTTTCAAGAGCGCTCCAAGACAGCTCGAAACGGCCCAAACAGCTTCCGAAGGGAGCCTCAAGACGCCACCAAGTTCTTTGGTTTCCCGAAGGATTTTGACAGTTGTTTCCCACATGCTTCGTGGGGTTCTTGTTTTCTTCCCTGCCGCGCCGCACCCGCGTCTCACCCGCACACCTCCCTCTCCGTCTCTCTCTCACACACCTCACTGTTCCCCTCCTCCTCACAGCACTGCTCAGCACAGCTCAGCTCAGCTCAGCTCAGCACGGCACAGCTTAGCGCAGCTCAGCTCAGCTCAGCACAGCACAGCTCATTTTCTTCCAACCCGCGCCGCACCCGCGTCTCCCTCCTCCTCCTCCTCCTCCTCCTCCTCCTCCTCCTGCACACAGCACAGCACAGCACAACACAACAGACCGCAACACAGCATAGGATCATAGGACTGTCGCAGGGCCTAGTAGACGTGGCACTTTCTCGACACCAGAGGGGGTGCGCAGGGGGTGGTCCTTCAATGCGGTCTCTATACGCGCCAATGTCGCAGGGCCTAGCAGGCGTGGCACTTCCTCGACACCACAGGGGGTGCGCTGGGGGTGGTCTCCCTATCCGTTGCGGCCTCGCAAAGCGTGGCAGGCGTGGCACTTCCTCGACACCACAGGGGGTGCGCTGGGGGTGGTCTCCCTATCCGTTGCGGCCTCGCAAAGCGTGGCAGGCGTGGCACTTCCTCGACACCACAGGGGGTGCGCTGGGGGTGGTCTCCCTATCCGTTGCGGCCTCGCAAAGCGTGGCAGGCGTGGCACTTCCTCGACACCACAGGGGGTGCGCTGGGGGTGGTCTCCCTATCCGTTGCGGCCTCGCAAAGCGTGGCAGGCGTGGCACTTCCTCGACACCACAGGGGGTGCGCTGGGGGTGGTCTCCCTATCCGTTGCGGCCTCGCAAAGCGTGGCAGGCGTGGCACTTCCTCGACACCACAGGGGGTGCGCTGGGGGTGGTCTCCCTATCCGTTGCGGCCTCGCAAAGCGTGGCAGGCGTGGCACTTCCTCGCACCACAGGGGGTGCGCTGGGGGTGGTCTCCCTATCCGTTGCGGCCTCGCAAGCGTGGCAGGCGTGGCACTTCCTCGACACCACAGGGGGTGCGCTGGGGGTGGTCTCCCTATTTGCGGCCTCGCAAAGCGTGGCAGGCGTGGCACTTCCTCGCAATACACCACTTCCTCGGGGGTGCGCTGGGGGTGGTCTCCCTATCCGTTGCGGCCTCGCAAGCGTGGCAGGCGTGGCACTTCCTCGGCACCACAGGGGGTGCGCTGGGGGTGGTCTCCCTATCCGTTTGCAGGCGTGGTACTTCCTCGACACCACAGGGGGTGCGCTGGGGGTGGTCTCCCTATCCGTTGCGGCCTCGCAAAGCGTGGCAGGCGTGGCACTTCCTCGACACCACAGGGGGTGGGCTGGGGGTGGTCTCCCTATCCGCTGCGGCCTCGCACAGCGTGGCAGGCGTGGCACTTCACAGGGGGTGCGCTGGGGGTGGTCTCCCTATCCGTTGCGGCCTCGCAAAGCGTGGCAGGCGTGGTACTTCCTCGACACCACAGGGGGTGCGCTGGGGGTGGTCTCCCCATCCGTTGCGGCCTCGCACAGCGTGGCAGGCGTTGCATTTTTTCGACGCCACAAGGGGCTGCTTTGGGGGTGCGGTCGCTATCTGCTTCGGGCTCGCACAGTGTGGCTGGCACTCTCCTCTTGAGTGGCGCCACCAACGGTATCGGCGGGGCATCGGCCACTAGCATCATTCTCACATGCTTCACCTCAGCTACCATCACTCCAGCCATAATGTACGTATGTGGGGTTCCTCGGTAGCGTAATTAGTTATTAGCTTTCTCCTTTTTTCGGCCTCCCGACCGCCTGCAGCTGCCCGAGGAGCCTCCCAAGTCGAGCCAAGACCGCCCGAGAGCCTCCCAAGAGGGCCGCAAGACCGCTCAGGAAAGCCCCAAGGCGGCCCAAGACAGCCCCAAGGCGGGCCAAGAGGGTCCCAACGAGGCGTCCAAGATGGCCCCCAGTCGGCCCCAGAGCCCTCCCAAGACGGGCCAACAGGACACCAGGACTGCCCTGGCGGCCTGAGGGGCCTCCCAGGTCGCTCCAAAACGGCCAAAGTTGCCCCAAACAACGTAGTTGCCGCCTTCGCCGGTGCGGTCGCCTGCCCTGGGGCGTGCTGTGGCACCGCCTTGAGCATCCAGGCGGCTCGTAGACGTCGCCTGAAGCAGACGTGACGGGGCGGTGGCTGAGATTGGCACCATGCCGTCTTGCCGGCGGGGCGGGGCGATGGCCCGATGCTCGGGGGATGCGCCTTGCCGAGAGGGAGTGCCTTGACGAGAGAGAGAGAGTGTGTGTGAGAGAGAGAGGGAGAATCAACAACAAACAACGAAGCAAAACGTCCGAGGGAGGGGGGGGGGAGGGGGAGGAGCGAGGAACAGAGCGCAGAGGCCATGCACCTGGGGATCCCGAGCAGCATCGACCACACCGACCAGGAAATCCTCACACCGCACTCTAAGCAGGCGGCGCGGCGGCTATGGCTGGGCATACGGCAGGGCTCGTTGTCGTCCCACGCGGGCATGACCAGTGGTGTGCTCCAGATTCTGATTCAGTCAGCCGCTGTCTAAGCGTACTCACTCTGCGGAAGGGGGGAGGGGGAGGAGGAGGAGGAGGAGGAGGAGGAGGAGGAGGAGGAGGAGGAGGAGGTGGAGGAGGAGGAGGAGGAGGAGGAGGAGGGAGGAGGAGGAGGAGGAGTGAGGACCAGAGAAAACCCAAGACGTGTCAAAGGCTGCAACGCACCCTCCCGTTCCAAGCCCCTTGATTTATTTACTTCATTGCGGGAAGTGTACCCTTGAAAGTCGACCGCCCCATGGGGTTGCTATTCAGGAGAAAGCACCGTTTTGAACAGAAGTTGCAATGCTTTGCTGTAATAGATGGAAGGCGAAGAGGTGGGATCGGACAGTCAAAGGAAGTGTCCAGGGAAGTCCCCGCTTTGAAAGTAGTCCGCTCATTGCCCGTGCAACTGGTGCACCCATTTTGAGATGGAACCTCCCTTCATCCGTGTAGCTGTCGGGAACTTTCAGACGAAAGCGTGTGGCACCAAGACGAGAGCCTTACTGTGAACATGGCCCACTTTGTTCTGGAAGTTGTTCAGATCAGCGCGTGCAGCGTTGAGGCAAGAATTCCATGTTGCAAACAATTGTTGACGCTTCGCGAATCCCCAACAGCCTATCCAGAAACGATGCCCAGAGGAATTGCCTCGATCAGGGAAGTGGGCATCACACAGAGGAAGCCATTATGAGACATCTTGGGATATCTTGAGCCATCTTGGAGGTCATTTGGGGCTCTTCCAGGCGCTCTTAGGGTCATCATAGTCAGTGCCCCCCCCCCACCAAAGAGGCCAACATATGGCTAAAACCGCCTCGGATGACGACAACGCCCCCCCCTCAAACCTCCCGTCGAGTTCTCCTGTTGCTCACATCGGCAGCGAGCCCACGGGGGGAATCGAGTCGGCGGGCCTGCTGAGAAAAGGCTCGGGAGTCCCCAGGCCGTCTGAGAAGGCCCTCCCCGAGGACACGGACAACTTCTCCGAAGGCGCGAGGGCTTCTGAGGAGACCTGCCGCCTTCCGATAAGGCCTTCTTCTTCTCGTTTCCCCTCCGGCGGGCCTGCTGAGAAGGCTGGGAAGTCCCCAGGCCTTCTGAGAAGGCCTTTCCCGAGGACGCGGGCAGCTTCTCAGAAGGCGCAGGGTCTGATCGTGCAGGATGCTATGACATCATGAGCTCGGGTGCCAGGATCTCGCCAATGATTTGGCATTCTCGCCGAGGCCTCTTGGAGCATCTTGGGTGCCTCTGGGGGGTCTCTGGGGGCCTCTTGGTGGTCTTTTGAGCGCCTCCTGGGGGCCTCTTGGGAGCCTCTTGGGGCCATCTTGGGGCCATCTTGGGACCTCTTGGGCCATCTTGGAGGAGATTTATCAAACAAGAGGGGAGCTTCAATTTGGGTCCCCCACTCAGGAGGCCAACATGGGGCCAAAACCATAGTAAAACCAATGATTTTGGCTTCCTCGCCGAGGCCGTTTTGGACGCCCTGACACCTCGCGACCCCCCCCGTCCAGGTCCAGGGAAGGGGGTAGGGGGAGGGGTAAACCCCTCCCCGAAGGGGAAGAAGGAGGGGTGGAAGAGGAAACTCTCTAAACCACCGACGCTCAGAGGGCTGGTGGGATTCTCTTTCCATCCGTGTAATAGCTCAATGTTTTACGTGCCGGGCCGTGAGTTGAGAGGAAGTCGCAGGCGAGTCGCGCGGCCCGCCCTCCCGACACGCATTGTGTATTGACGAGGACAAGCGTTTCCCAAATTGTGCTTGCATTGACGTGTTTTTACTTGGCTTGGTAGGTAAGTCATTTTGTGCGTCCGCTGGCGTTTCGCCTGGTGCCCAGCTGGTGGCCGGTCTTGGGTGCCTCGTGGGCGCCCCGTGCGTTGAGTGGATCCTCTGGGGTTTCGCTTAGTGCCTGGTTGATGGCCGGTCGTGGGCGCCTCGTGGGCGCCCCGTGCGCTGGGTGGGTCCTCCAGGGTTTCGCCTTGGTCGGGTTGGTGGCGGATCGTGAGCGCCTCCCATGGGCACCCCGCGCGCTGGGTGGGCCCGCCAGGATTTTATCCTGTTGCCCATTTTTTGGCTGGCTTGGGTGCCTCGCGGGCGAGCCGTGCGTTGGGTGGGTCCTCCGGGATTTCGCTTGCTGTCCGCTTGGTGGCCGGTCGTGGACACCTTGCGGGCGCCCCGTGCGTTGGCTAGCTAGGTTCGCCAAGATTTCACTTGTCGGGCGCCCGTTTGCGCCCACGAGTAGTTTGTTGCAGATTCCTTCTCCCAACAGAGATTAGTCAGATTACCCCACCACCGAGGCCGGGGTTATCGGCCCCCCGTCTGCCCATCTAAAGAAAAAAGGTGAATAACAAATGTACACGATCGTCTATCGTAAACAGCAGTTCTTGCCATCCAGGCCAGGCCGGTATTGCCCCCCCCGCCATCTCTTGCAAATGCACATGCGTTGATCTAATCAGACATGTGCGCTTCGCCGCGCACGCACGTTGAAGACAGTGTTGTTTTAGCAGTTGTTTGAAGACGTCGCTTCAATAACCATGGCATGCTTCCAGGATTCTCCGCGCACTCGCTGGAATCTTAAGAGGACACCGTATGTGTACGCGGCCAGGCTGTCCAGTCAGAGCATGCTGGCAACTTGCGCGCATGTTGAAAAGTTTCGACCACCGTCGCACGCCTACCAAATATGGCACGCGCGCGGGCCACACGCGCGCGTCCCTGCGCGCGTGCGGCGACTCCCGTCCAAAAACTAGTGGTGCTCTAGTAATTTCAGGACAGAGGTGTTCAAACACAAACGAACGCCGCTTGCATTCTCAACAAACACTATGTCAAGGTGTCTGAAGGTATGGGGGCTTGCATTGTTTCATCATCCTCGTGATCACAATTCGTTATCGTCATCGTCAGCGTCAGCAGTGCCGTCGTCATCATCATCATCATCATCATCATCACCATCATCATCATCATCAACGTCGGGATCATCGTCAGTGCTCTTATCGTTCAAGTCGTCGCCTCGTCAGTGCGCGCGGGCCTTCCCCCAGCATCATCATCATCGCCATCACCATCATCAGCCTCCTCACCATCATCACTACCACAATCGTAATCATCACCGCCAGCGTCATCGCTGCAACCGTTGTTCTCATTACCTTCATCTCGATCACCATCAGAATCGTCGTCGTTGTCATTTCATTGCCCCCATCTCCGCTGTCATCCCTATCGGCATCAGCGTCATCATCACTGTAATCGTCATCTTCGTTGGTGTCGCGCCTGTCACCTTCGCCACCAGCATTTGGTGACCTTGAGGACGGACTCGTCTGTGAGGGTGGGTTCCACGCGCCCGCACGCTTGTGGGTGGGTGGTTGGTGGGTGGTATATGTTTGAGATCATGAGAAGTGGTCACGCGCGGATGTTGCGCGATGCGTGGATTGTATCACATATCTTGCACCACATGTATTGCACCACATAGCGTGCTCCATACCGATAATATCATATCGAGTGCTCAACATAAGATTATAGAAAGCACCACATAGCCTGCCCTACAGCTTGTTCACTACACAGCGTGCACCACATAGACTGCATTGCGTAGCTTACAGCTCAAATAGCCCACCGGAAAACATTGCTTGCACCACATCCACTGCGCTGTGCATCCATGGTGCAACACCGCACTGTTTGGGCTCCACGCTGATTCTGAATATAGAAAGGGGATTTGGAGCAGTGTGGAGGAGGGGAGGGACGAGGATGGAGGGAGGAGGGAGGGGATGGGGTTCAGGGGGATCGTGAGCAGGAGGAAGGGGCGGGAGGTCGATCAGTGGAGAGAACGAAAAAGGAAACGAAGGATGACGGCGACAGGTGAGGGGGAGGGGATGGAGGGGACTTGAAGAGGCCTAAGGATCCAAATCCTCTTCCCCTCCTCCTCCCCCTCCAATTCCTTCTCCTCGTCGTCGTTGCCCTTATCCACCGCCTCGGTCGCCTTTTGGGTTCCAGGAATCTGCTCGACGCACCTGGCCTGGTGTGAGCTGAAGCTGCGTCGAGGCGGAAGTGCGACAGGTGCGGGGGGTGCTGGCAGGAGCCGTCTACTGGAGCGTCCATGGCCGAGGCTGAGACAGAAATCCGCCCACGTCGTATACCGATCTATATTCGGCGGCGAGCCCGGGTCGAAATGAGAGGGGGCGGGCCTTCTCAGAAGGCCCTCTCAGAAGGCCTTCTCAGAAGGCTCAGAAACCCTCGGATTGTCTGAGAAGTTTTCTAAGCCTTCCCCGAAAACGCAGAACATTTCGCAGAGGGCCCGAGGGTTGCTGAGAAGCCCCGCCGCCTTCTGAGAAGGCCTGCTCCTTCTGACTTATCCTCCGGGCGCGCCGCCGACATGTGTTGTTGGACCAGGTTTTTCCGCGCAGGATATGGTTCGCTCGCAGGTTTTCGAACATCCGACAATCCAGGCACCACGATTTTCTGGTCGCTCGGCCCTTCTCGGTTGGCCGCGCTTCGCGTATCTTCGTATTTCTGCCAGTCCATCCAGAATCGATGACCACGAGAGTGGCCTTTATCAGGGAAGAGTCGGAGCAAGCAATGTGTCGAAGAGGAGGTGGCAGTGCCGTGGAGCCGAATCGCGGAATCAGTTTGAGCAGATCCAGGAGTCAACAATCAAGATGTGTGCGGATCTCTTGTTCTGAGGCCCCCGTGAAGCTACTTCGGCCATTTCGGGGGCCCCTCGGGGCCATGTTGGAGGCCGTTTGTCTCTTTGGGGGAGGGCAGATCGGGCCGTCTTGGAGGACGGTGGGTGAATAAAACGGCGGACTCGAGTAAAGCTCCCCCCGTCGGAGCCCGACACATCGCCTGTTGGCGCCCACCGTGAACCGCCCTTGGGGCGCCTTGGCGCCCTCTTGGCCACTCTCTGGGCCCCTTGGATGATCGTGGAAGCGCCTCCGGACCGCAAAG